TATATATATATATATGTCTTTAATATGGAAGCCGGAGGGTAAGAACTATCATTCACAGAAGAAGAATGTTTAAGCACCCAAAATTTCTCTTATTTTTTAGAAGAAGAATGTTTATCTAAATTGGCCTAAAGAATCAATATATACCTTGTTGTTGATAACCTCACATCAATTTATCTAAGCTTGGTCGTTATTGCATTCAAATACACCTATCATCTGTTTTGCTTAATTCAATTCCTATCAACCTAAAGAGTCTCAAGTTTTCGTAAGTGATGTATGATTATAAACCTATAACATTTAAGACTTGTAAATTCCTTAAATATTAATTATCTACCAGTCCCCAACTAAGCACCATCTTTAACCCTCCCCAACAGTCATTCAGGGAAGGAGTAGAAGCCATTCCCATCCCAATCACCTCAAAAGTCAAAACTTGACTAACAATACGTAAGTTTCCTTAGTACCTATTTCTTACACCCACTTTGTTATTCCATATGCACATGTCAATCTTTCTGTTCCAGAACCAGCCTTGATTATTCTCTCCATTTAAGACCATGACAAGACTTCGCTCCTATAACTTTTGCCTACTCCGTCCCAAACTACTTCTATACCCCCACCACCCATACTTCTCTCCTTAACACTCACCAAATCTACTCTAGCCCTAATTCCCTTCAATCTTCTACAGTCTATGAAAATAAACCTAAGGCACATATGAAACCTCATCAATTATCAAACTCTTTTGATCTTCTGTGTTTACATACATTACATCATGGAACATTATAGGCCTTTAGGCTAAAGTCAGGATCATGGATTATAAATGATCATTCCTTGATCATAATCTAGATTTATTTCCATTTGTTGGAAATAAGACTCAATAAAGTTTCTGTTTAGAACCCATTTTATTTAAAAACATCTCTCTTCACTAATGAAGGTGGCTGCAATAATTTTAGTTGTCGTTATAAGGTAGAATTTTGATAAAATGGAAAGCCCATTTAATCTCATTCATCCCAATATTATTCACTCTCAATTTATTCATGGGGAAGTTATCATCTCCAAGAACTATAAGCTCTACATGTCTTGTGTTTACATAGCTAATGGGGATATTGATGGAAAATTCCTTTGGTCAACCATTATTGAAGTATCCACCTCTATAAATGCAACTCGGCTTGTGTTGGGGGACTCTAATTTTGTGCATTTCAATTCTGATAGTTGGAAAAATCTTATTCCTTACAAAAACTTAAAAAATTTAGTAAATGTTTCTTTTAGCCTAGTCTTTGGAACTCTTTAATAATAGTGGTTCTTTCACTTGAACAAACCTACAACCAAACAACCCTATTTGGATCAAGACTGATAGGGGTTCTTGCAATTTATAATGGTTAGAGTGCTTTTTAGGTTTTTATAGAATCTTACTCACTAATTATTATTCATGGGAAAACTCCCAAAATAGTTATACATAAATTTATTTTAAGAAATTATTAGACTAACATTAGTGAGCTATTAATTCATGTTGATGAATCTTCGATAAATTCTTCCATGGTGATCCCATTTTTTTTATTTATAAACATTTAAGAGGTTAAAGCTACTTTAAATCGTAATATTAAGGTCCATATATCCTACTTATAAATGACATCACCTATCTTAAATTTGAGTAAGAGAAAAATCACAATACCTTTTAGAATGATCCTTTCAAATCCTTATCTTAAAGCATTCATGAAGAAAACTTATTTGCTACGACCTTAATGTGTTAATCGGTGAAACAAATGGACAAAATCAGTTGGCCGACTAATGGTGAAGACGACATAAAATTCTTATGTAACCACCAAATGTAAGAAAAAATTCCAA